ACCCCCGCCCCTGCCGCCCCAGTGAGCTGGGAGGTGAGCCCCCTGCGGGTGGAGCCCCTCTCCCCACACTGTTACTCTCCCACCCCTCCACACGGGCTTGCTCTCCTCCTCACAGCCCTGGTCCCGCTGCCTCCATAAACCCCAGGGGTGCAGGGGACGCACGTGACCCACCGATGACTCGCACCCTCTGCTCAAGATCAGTCTCCCTGAGCCACACGCCCAGGGGCCGAGCTGGGGCGTGTAAAACCCCGAGATTCACCGTGTCACGGGCTTGGCTCCCAGTCCACACGGGGTCTCGCTCTCTATCCTGACGTGACCACGGCAGGAGCCACGGCAGGTGCCATGCAGGCCACGCTCTCGAGAAGTTAAACATTCTGCTCCGCAAACAGCTTAGCGGCGTCCCCGCATCGGAGGATGGAAAGTTAGTCCCTGTCTCCACGGCCGAGGAGACAGGATTGTCCTGTGTCTGCCACCCAGGGGCACCCTGCCCGGCAGAGGTGCCTGTCCCCGCGGTGGGTACCTTGGTAGACGGCCTTGAACCCGGGCGAGGCGATGCTGTCATCCGACTGCAGGTGCAGCCACATCTGGTTGCTGAGGCTCACGATCAGGTCGGGGACGCTGGAGCCGGTGAGCCTGCGGAGGGAAGCGGGAAGCGTTTGTTAGGTACCGTCACCTCTGCCCGCTCCTGGGGGCACAGGCGCTCAGACACACGGGCCAGACGCAGGCGTCCCAACATGTGCCCGGCTGGTCACGCTGGTGGCTCGGCTTAGAAACGAAATGCACTGTAATAAACAGGCCTTTACAATCAGTCATCGGGCGTGTGCACATTTGGGGGGACACCTACATGTAGTAAGACCCTCCCTCAAAGGATTGATGGCCATGGGAAATCCATATTCCCATTTAAACTCAGTATCGCAGGGGATTCACAGTCATTGTTCTCCATAGTGCAAACGTGTACCTTTTGTTTTAACAATAAATGTGGTGTGACCAGCGGCCCCCTCAGTCTGGAACGAGAGGGCATGTCCTGGGCAGGATTTCGGCACTGAAACAGGGGCGGGTCTTGGACAAGGGCTGGGGGCTGGTCACCTGTGAGGGACAGTCCCACCCATGGTCGAGGGGGACACCACATCACACCGTCCACATGAGAGCACACCCACGCTGAGAAATGCTCTGGTTCGTTAACAAAACGCTTGGTTGTCTGGCCTGGAGTTATCCAGAATGTTCACCACAAGGTCCCTTTTAAAACATGTCAAGGATGGAATACTCCTCAGCACTGAATGCAGTGACCTATTGAGCTGTGAAAACACAGGAACCTGAATGCATGTGGCTACGTGACGGAGGTGTCTGAGAGGCCACACTGTGTGACTCCAGCTCTGTGACATCCTGGCAAAGGCGGAACTACGGGGACGGGCACAGGACAGGGGTTGCCATGGGGATGGGGGAGGGGTGAAGGGGGGCCCAGAGGGTGTGGGGCAGTGGAACTGCTCTGGGTGATGCTGTGATGACGGACACATGTCCTCACACCTCTGTCCAGGCCCCCGGGGTGCACAGCACAGAGCGACCCTGACGTCCACGGTGGACTCGGGTGACGATGGAGTGTCCGTGCAGGCTCCTCCGTGTGACGGACAGGTGTCCACCTGGGGGGGGGGCGTGCAGGCTCCTCCATGGTGACAGGTGTCCACCTGGAGGGTGTGGATGGGGGGGCGTGCAGGTGGGGGTGACAGTAGATGGGAAATCTCTGTACCTTCCCCTCCATTTTGCTCTGAAGCTAAAACTGCTCTAAAGATAAAGTTTAGCTTGGATCTCGGTGCCCACGGCGACCCCACACGGAGCGCCTCTGGAGACGGGCAGCACGCGGCCGAGAGCTGGCAGCGGCCCCAGGTGTCCCCTCTGCACGTTAATGGCCGGGTCACCGGGGTCTCCATGAGGCACTGGCTGTGCCTTCACAGAGCAGCCGCACGGCCCAGCTGCCCGCCGTGTAAGGAAACACGGGCCACTGACGGGCTCCACGTGCCGACGGAGCAGCGTGTGGACGCGGAACGAGGGTGTGGAGCCAGTCAGTGCAGCACACAAACGTCTCTGGTCAAGGAGGCAGCACTGCTGTCGGCAAAGTAGATTCGGGAACACGAACAGGTGACCTGCGCTGTCAATCACCTCATTCACCCCTCAGCCCGACAGTCTCACCTGGGACAGGGCAGGGGGCTGGTGCTCCAAGAAGATAAAGGACAGTCATTGCTTTGTCCCTTCAAAGCCTGGAGCAGCCCGCACAACCCCCACACAACATGGAAATGAAGGAAGGATTCAGTGAGTGACGTGCCGTCTGTAACTATGGATTTCTTTCTGAACATTTTTATTCTTTGTTAGAAAGACTGTTCTTTTAGGACTGGCTGTTCTATCTGCGTGTCTGATTTGAAAGAAATGTTTCTTCCCTATCATACATTGTATTGACGTGTAACATACACAAAAGTGTGTAGATGATGTCTAGTTTGACTTGTGATAGTAAAGCTGTAATATTTAAACTGTACAAGGATATCTTTCATCTTTCACTTGCAACTATTCTATGCAAGCATATTACATGTATGTGTCTCATATAAGCATCCTATACTTGTTTTATATTACTCTGAATTATTTATATTACTGAATTATTATATTTCCGCGCATGAAATTCATGCACTCGGGGGTCCCTAAGCCCGGTCTGCGCCCTCTCACAGTCTGGGAGCCCTCAGGGGATGTCCGACTGCCAGCTTAGGCCGTGGGGAGTGGGCCTACTCCGCATCAGACATCCTTAGCACTGTTGTGGAGGCGGGAGAGGCTACCACCAACACCGCTACACTTGCCAGTTGTGAGCCGGGCTTCTGGCTGAGTGGCACTCCTCCTGAGGGAGTGCACTGATGACCAGAGGGCAGCTCCTGTGTTAAGAATCTGCCCCCTGGTGGTCAGTGTGTGTCATAGAGACCGGTCGTTCCACCGTTCCATCAATTTGCATATTAGCCTTTTATTTTATAGGATTTTTACCTAGAGAATTTTGTCTTATTTAGAAAATATTTAATGAACTAAAGTTCATTTTTTATTTTCCATTTTTTATTAGTCAGTTATTTTCAATTATCCCTTTTATTGAATTGCATTTATTTTCCCCAACACTTCAAATATGTCATTCTGTTATCTTTTTATTTGTTTGTCTCTATTGTGAAGAATTGTATGAGTCTAGTACTTGGCCTTTCGAAAATAATGTTTCTTTGTGTAAGAACTTTTCTTGTCCTGATTTTCAGCAGCTTTACTATATAGTGCCAGGTGCGGTTTTCCCAGCATTATCCTGATGGGCATCTCCATCTTGATGTCTGTTGTTGGTGTTGAAAAAGTTAATGGTGATTTGCCTTCAAGTATAATTATGTCCCACTTTCTCTTTCTTCCCGAAGTCCAGTTACACATATATTTTCTGTAGGTATGTTCCTGCCCCCCACCTACTTAACTTTGAATATTTTCTACTAAGATCTCTTCCAGTTAAAACCATATATGTTGAGTTCTGTATTGCAAATATTCTGTTTTTCAATTTTTACAATTCGGTTTGATTTTTTGTTACAGATACAGTATTCTGGGAAAATTCATCATTTCAGTGATTTTCTTAGACATATGAATCATAGTTAATTATAAAAGTCCCCAAGTGTTAACTGCAATGTCTAGGTGGCTCCCTTTACTTTTGTCTATCTTCAATTTCGTTATCTTTTCAAAGAACCACTCTTGGTTTTATTGATATTTTTGTTTTTGTTTTTAATCTCTATGTCATTTATTTCTGCTGTGACTTTTCTTATTTCCTTTCTTCCACTTACTCTGGGCTTTTATTCTTGATATTTTTCTAATTCATGTAGTTTTTGGGTTAGATTGTCTGAGGTTTTTCTTGGTCCTTGAGGCAGGCCTGTAATGCTTGAACTTGCTTCTCAGAACTACTTATGCTGTGTCCCATAGATCTGGGGTTGTTGTTATGTACAATTTCATTTGTTTCCACAAGGTTTTTTTTGTTTGTTTGTTTGTTTTTAATTTCTTCCTTGCTCTTCTCGGAAATCCATCCATTGTTTAATAGTATTTCAACTTCAGATTTGAATGATGGCCTTGCTGGGTAGAGTAGTCTTGGTTTCAGATGCTTGCTTTTTATTACCTTGAATACTTCATGTCATTCCCTTCTGGCCTGTAGTGTTTCTGTTGAGAAACCAGCTGACCGCATTATGGGAGCTCCCTTGTAGGTAACTGACAGTTTCTCTCTTGCTGCCTTTAAGATTCTCTCTTTGTCTTTAAGCTTTGACATTTGAATTATGTTGTGCCTTGATGTGGGTTTCTTTGAGTTCATCTTGTTTGGGACTCTGTGCTTTCTGAACTTGTGTGATTGTTTTCTTCGCCAGGTTAGGGAAATTTTCTGTCATTATTTCTTCAAACATGGTCTCCACACTTTGCTCACTTTCTTCTCCCTCTGGTACTCCTATGATGCAGATGTGGTTACCTTTCATGGTTTCCCGCAACTATCCTCATGCTTTTCTTAAAAATAATTTGCTGCTGCGATTGAGTGATTTTTGTCTACCTTGTCTTCTGATTTGACCCCCTGCTTCCTCTAACCTACAGTCTATTCCCTCCAGTGTATTTTTTATTTCAGATACGTCATTCTTTACTTCTGGCTGGTTGTTTTCCTTGGTTTCTATGTACTTTTTCATGCTGTTGAGCATTCTTAAAAGCATTGCTTTCTACCTGTTTCTGATAAGTTGCTTGCCTCCATCTGATTTAGCTCCTTTTGCGGAGATTCCTCCTATTCTTTCATTGGGGCCTGTTTCTTTGTCTCCCCATGTTTGCTGTTTGTGTTTGTTTCTAATTATTGGAGAGGACTGCTCTGACTCCCAGTCTTGGTGGGGCACCCCATTTTCGTGGATGTTCTGTGGGATCCAATGGTCTAGCCGCCTTGATCTTTTGAGCTGGGTGCTCTAGGAATGTCCTTGGTGTGGGTTAGGAGGGCCCTCCTCTTGGAATTGGGTCTTGAATGCTGTTGTTCCATTAATGGGTGGGCTGGGCCCACGGGCTGGCTGACTGTGAGGCTCAACCCAACCACATCGTGCCAACTGTAATACAGGGGCTGTCGGAGCAAAACAAGACCAAACCAAAAACAACACAAAATAAAAACCAAATCAACAACCCCAAGAAAAACAACCACAAAATAAAGCAAAAGACAAGAGACCACAAGAACTAGAGATGAAAAAAGAAACAAAGCAAAAGCCCCTTTTGTGTGGCTAAGTTGGTTGGTCATTGTTCCATGTACTTGGGGATTGCTGGTTTGATTCCCAGTCAGGTCACATGCCTGGATCACGGGCTTGATTCTAGATAGGGGGTGTGCAGGAGGCAGGAGATAAATGTTATGCTCTCACATCAATGTTTATCTCTCCCTCTCCCTTCAACTCTCTCAAAAATCAATTAATTTTAAAAAAATAAGTAAAAAAGAGAAACAAAAAAGAGAATGTAAAAGAAAATGATAAAAAAGAATAAGAATAAAAATTCTTAGTAATAATTTTTAAAAGTAATAATAATAAAATAAAATATAGAATTAGAAAAGAAAAACCCTAAAACGAAAAAAAGAACAGAGAGAGAAACTGAATTAA